TGATGGTGCCTTTCAGGAACTGAAAAGCCGACTTACTTCCGCTCCGATGCTTGGGTTTCCTGACTTCAACAAGCCCTACATTTTGGAAGTGGATGCTAGTTACCTAGGACTTGGAGCAGTGTTATCTCAGGAACAGGAGAAAGGAAAGGTCGTCCTAAGTTATGCCAGCAGATCGCTACGGCCAAATGAGAGGAACATGGAGAACTATAGCAGCATGAAGCTGGAGCTGCTAGCCCTCAAGTGGGCAGTAACCGAGAAGTTCAGAGACTTGTTGTTGGGGACAGAGTGCTTGGTTTACACTGATAATGACCCGCTAAGCTATGTGCAAACAACGGCAAAGCTGGGAGCTACAGAGATGAGGTGGGTGGGCGAGTTGGCACAGTTTAACCTCACCATTCGCCACAGGTCGGGGAAACAGAACAAAAATGCTGATTCTCTTAGTAGGAAGACGTGGCATGGAGAAGAGGCAGCACGTCTGGAAGAAGCCAGTGTTCAGACAACAATTCCCTTCCGTGACTCTACACAGTTGCCGGGAGATTTGAGATCCACAATCCAGGAGGTTTCTATCCGTGTATGGGAAGAGGAGCTGCACACAACAATCAGGAGACAAAGTCCTCTCCTTGTAACCTCCATGCCAATGCTGTCAGCTGAAAATCTGTCCAAACTTCAACTGGATGATCGCTGCATTAGCCGGTTCAGGACCTACTGGGATAGGAACGTTAAACCGTCCAAGCGGCAGGCAAATAGAGAACACCCTGGTACAAGGAGGTTATTCGCCCATTGGAAGCAGATTGTAGAAGAAGATGATGTACTTTACCGTCGAATTGTTCGGAATGGAACTGTGGTTAAGCAGATGCTATTGCCTGAAACTTTGAAAGACAAGGTTCTGAAAGCAGTACATGATGACCATGGACATCAAGGTTATGAGAGAACGTACTCTCTTTTGCATAGTCGTTGCATGTGGCCATACATGGCAAGAGATGTAAACGAGTATTGCGCGAAGTGTCCCAGATGTGTTTTGGGAAAACATGGAGAACAGGTGAGACCGACAATTGGATCAATCATTGCAAAGAGACCGTTGGAAATACTAGCAATAGATTTCACTCTTCTCGAGCCGGGCACCAACAACATCGAGAATGTGCTAGTGATGACCGACGTGTATACCAAATTCACACAGGCCATACCATTAAGAGATCAGACTGCCAAGAGAGTTGCGCGAACTATGGTGAGGGAATGGTTTGTTCACTATGGAGTACCTCTAAGAATACACAGCGACCAAGGACGCAATTTTGAAAGTAGGTTAATCCATGAGTTGTGTAATATCTATGGAATCTTGAAGACCAAAACCACTCCGTATCACCCACAAGGGAACGGCAACTGTGAACGCTTCAATAGGACCCTTCACAATTTGTTGCGTACTCTCCCNGGGCGCCCGCCTGTTGATTGCCAAACATAACAAAAAAAAAATGTTTCGCTGTGCCGTCACCCGCGTCTTCACAGACTGGCGCACAAATTCCTGTTACTGTCTGATGATGCTGAACGAAACATTCTCCATACGAATGAGCAAATCTGTCAGTCTTAAACGTGTTCTACAATTAAGATCGAACGCCAGCCAGCGATTCATCTGCTCTCATGTATCCTTCTTTGCGTTGAACAAGGAGTTAGTGAACTGACATTAATGTCACGAAAATCCTATCAAATGTTCTTGCCAAATCTCGAGCGAGATAAGACTATGACTTTGGATTTTGACGATTTCTGCGCAACAAAAACCATAGAGACGCTAAAAGACCAAAGGAAATAATTCTTACTTTGCTCAGATTGTGCTTGTTGCAAAGTTGGCTTGATTGAATTATCTATGGTTCCTGAACTCTTATTGACAGAAAAAAGAAATGGAAATGCTTTGTGACATAACTTTGATATATTCGAACTTATGGGGGACCGGGCCATTTTGGCCCAGAGACAAACCTCGGTTTTTATTTCAAAATCCGATTTCAACCACTAATTGTACAGGTAACTGTTCTCCTATCAGGGGAGGACAAAAACAATTCTTTTTCATCGGGTAAATTTCCCCTTTTATTTTAAGTATGAGCGGGCTATTGTGGCAGCTTACCATTGTTTTTAATTTGAATCAAAGTCAATATGCGTTTTTAGTTTTCACAGAGACAAGCAACAACATTTTTTAGATAGGAAACGCATCCATTTGTGAGATCAGTCTTTATTCAATGCATGAGTCTTGAATCACGATTACAAAATGAATGGACATCAGATCTGAAACAATGACGAAGAGCAAGTTACCTGTGGTGTATTATTGTCTATCTCCCCAAGTCTTTTGGGATGTCGTATTTAGAGAGAGTGCCCAATGACATGACTGATTAAAAAGTAACAGCATGAAACAGAAACGGCATAATCTTCAGAGTGATGTCTTTACATACCTTATAGGAGAAATAACTCAATGATTGATTAGGAGGCACTTGTCCATCCCGACGAATTGAACCCGTTAAGAATTAACCAAAGTAAAGTTTATTGATGCCACAAAGTTAATAAGTTAATGATGTCACAAATACAACACAATTTTGTCATAATCATACGCATGCCGCCCGATGTGCTGCGCCAGGCAGGTTGTTGCCTGAACGCGTGTCGGCGGTTTCTGGTCGGTGCAGGATCGCGGCAGCCGTCACTGTGTGCCGGGCTGTGGATGGGCTTCGCTGGTGATGACGCGAGAGACAGTTGCTGTTGCGACTGTGGACCCCAGGCGATTCGTCCGAGGTCATAGCGGGGTAATGAGCCCTCATCGAAGTCGGATCCCGTAATGGCCCCCTTGTGCCCCCCCTTAGCTACGCCAGTGAATAGGTGTATTATTCATCTTGGCATCTGAAAGGTGTTTATTTCATATGCTTCCAAAGTAATAAAGTCATTTTACAACCAATGCTTTCATGTACTTTCTTTAAGATACAGGGTAGCAATACATTACAGCAGACAAATTAGTTTGTATGTACAATATGATTAGAGTTTCAAATAAACTGTCACCCGTTTTGTTTTGTTTTAATTTTTACATACATGTATTTCTGTGGGACATAAAGCCAATGGATAGTTTTGGTACGTGGAAAACCCCCAAATTAAATTATTCTTTGTTATAGAGTCATACTCTTATAGTTCTGTATGAATTGACAATGCCCTGAGTATTGTTTGCTTAGAAATTCTCAAATTTTCAAGAAATAACAAAATTATCAAAATGTTCGGGGTCACCCTGAACACTGCCATTTGTAATGTACATAGGGATGTTTTGCTACGGAGTATTATAACATTACAACAGGTCATTCAAAATAATTGCAGGTGGCTTTAATAGTGATTTCTGATGGTATGGTGCATTTTCTGAAGATTGAGAAAAGAGTTTGTTGAATCCGCCAAAACTATCTTGTGGCTTTAATTGAATAATTTATACTCCTGTGGTTTTTTTCTCAATGTATGTACCAAAAAGTAGATTATTTGATATTAGGTTCTATTATAAGAAATACAACAATATAATACATAAGAAATCAAGCACAAAAACTAAAAACAAAAAGTACAGCACATATTTTAAAAATAATGCTATCAAATATATCATGATTTATTCATATACCAATTTTCATGAGTGAGGACAAAATGCTTATGCAAGAGCGAACAAGTCATCTGAAAACACGCCTTTGGGAATCTGTATGTAGTGCCAATCCAAATTCGTTCCTCACAAAATACATGTAGTTGGTAAAGTTGCCAATTTGATGGCCTCACCTGAGGATCCAATGTAATGATTAATCAATATTTGCTATATCTCAAAATATGACATGAACAGGTCACTGTTACAGCTTTTGTAAATAATAGGAAAATGCATATCAAAAACCTTTACTTTCTGTGCACCGACTTAAGGTTCACTTGCCCTACTGGGCACCAAGAACATTTCTTTCTAACTGATACCAGTATGCTGCCCTTAAATTGACTGCAGATTACACTTTACTGCTAGCTTATTGTATAAGCATGAGTGTGTACTTTGTATATTAATGAACCATAACAGGACCAACATCATTGTATAGGGATATATTTTAAATATATCAGCTAATAATTTGAGAAAATATGAGTTAATACAGGCTTAATGTTCCCAATAATTTCTAAATACCTAAAGATACCACAAGGAAATTTACCCTATGATATATGACATATCAATGCACCTAGTACCTAACTGAAATGTATGCAGTACCTATACAATACACATAAATGCATTGAATATAATGCAGTGTCCGTCCGTGACGTAAAAAGTTCCAATTATTGTTTGAATTTCTACAGAATGACATTTACGCTACAAAGTCTAACACGCAAAAGCTCAGAAACTTTATCAAGTTTTATGCTAAGCCATCATTACTTTTGATGAAAAAATGTCCGTCCTTAAGACCAGTGCTTATAGACTGATCCAGAGGTTTACGTACTCTAAAATTTCTTGAAAATCTAAATTCCTGTAAAGAATCTTTCTCTCAAAAATCTGAAAATGAAATTTTCAACTTAACTGCTCACACTCATCTCCCTTGAGCATTTGGCTCAGACGAGCCTACAAAAACCTTTTACTTAGCACTGTGGGTCTTTCCAGAGACTTGTTTTGAGAAACTGCGTGGCTGAGGTAGTGTGGTGCAGGGTTTCTTCTCCAGCGTGGTAGTGGGAGTACTGCCGAAGTAGAAGCATCTCGATTATGGGCATGGGCATAGGCATGTTACCCCACATGGGAAGATTTAGTAGCCTGTAGGTCGTCCAGAATGTAGGTGCCTGCCTCCTCTTCCCATGTGAGGTCTACGCCGAGCCGTTGCTGTCGGCTGGACACCAATTTGACTCGTACGTCGCATACCGCCCTTACGTAAAGCCATTGTAGATTTGCCAAATGAATGCATAGCCGAAATGAGGCAGGAATCGGTTTTTATTTTGTTGTAACTTTGAACCATGGCATTCATTGCAGGCCTGAAATCATCAGGATACTGGTTCATTTTCAGGGCCAAATCGCTACACATACCATGAAACTTTTCCAGGAGATCATCTGAAAAATAAAAACAACAGAGTTTTAATATGTAATATTGTCAATTGATAGGAGTATCAGATGGAGTATTCACATCATTGTTTGTAGTGTATCATCATCATTGAGTATATCACAATTTGTGAACTGTTAACCAAATCATGGATCTGAACAAGGTTAAATAAAATCATATCCCCTGGATAGAAACGTCAGTGGTGTGGAAAGGGGAATACTGCCTACCTACATGTAGTATAAAAGAAGTGGTCAATATTTTGGTATATCTTACAATCTGGTAACTTGCCATTTAATCCTGAAACTTTGTCATTGACATCCATTGCCATGCATGTGGTACCTGCCTCTGCATTGAATTGATCGATTCTCTCATGGAGACTGTTGAGCATAACTTCTCCAGAAGACTCCCCGTACTCCTCCTGAAAAACCTTCCGATACAATCTAAATAGAAATAGAAATAGAAAATACTGGCATGTGAGAATACAAATCGATTTATTGAAAAAAAATATTTTACTAAACATCTGTAACATAATGAATAATCCACTGACTAAATTTCTTATATCATTACATGAAACTAAAATGAGGACAAACCCTGGTATGGATTTTTTTTCATGCTCATCTTCAAAGGATCAAATTTTAGTTGGTATCTATCTGGTATCTTTCTTTAAAAAAAAGTATTAATAACAGAGTTGTTTGCAAATAGAACTTAATTGTAATAATTCATTGAATGTGATTATCATAATTTAGTAACACTGTCATGCTACAGTAATGTTATTGTATATTACCATCATCTGACAATATAAAAGACAGAAGCTTCAAATTTGTACATATATGTATCAATGCATTCTAAAAAAATAATACCTGTGTGCAAACTGGATGTCGGGGCATACAGCTCTATCTGCTGCCTTCATGTGGTAGTCCTCACCATACTTCATCTGCAGCTCATATTTCAACATCTCCACAGCTTGTGTTGGTCCATATTTTCTCTTGAACAGGTCTGTGAGTGTTGCTCTAGTGCTCTCTGAGACATCTCTGTATTTCAGGGCATCAGCACACTCCACTGGATGGTTGTGTTTGTTGTTCAAGATTATTTGTGCATGATACTGTTGGTGATCTTTGCTTCTGTAAAAGAATAATGTTTAATTATTAGTATTGATTAATATACGTTATTTTTCTGTGTAATCATGGATAAATTTTATTTACATGTACATGGGTTTAAATGCTAAATCCAGAACAGGTAGGTTATTGGGTTATTGAATTTTCATAAAATATTTTCTAAACCATCGATATGGATGCTTATCGTGAATTGATGATAGCTTCACAACTCGCCATATATTGTACATAACATTTTGATTAATTTCATTTTTGCTCAATATGTGAAAATATGTACATCTCTCATGTCAAAATATAATATGGTAATAAACAGAATGCGCATCTAGTCTGTAAAGGCCAGTTTAAAATTGTAATAGGTGAAATATAAAAAATTTTAATTTCTGAGTTTATACATATTAAAAGAGATGGAAAATTATGAGGCGATAACATTGATCAACAACTCACTCAGTTGCATACTCATATTGGTTTATGCAGGGACGGCGGAATGGGGGGGCTTGTTGCACTCTGCACCAAATTTTTTTGACCTGCGTAAAAGTGCCCCTCAAGTGCCATGCATTAAATACACTTGAGTATAGCGAGTATAAGGAGGAAAGAATCACAGTTATTTCACTCTTCATGTGACAGCATGGGGAGTCCTCATACATAGGTCGCTCCCTTCAGATCTCGGCCTGAAGGATCCAATCACTAGGATACTTTGCACGTAGTTCACAAATATGTTACAATATCTGCAGGATTTCAAAGAAAACGTCATTAAGTCGCATCGATGGCTGAAAGTGGGAGGATTTAGCTATGGGGCATCTGAGCCCCCCCCCCCCCTGTACAATTAGGCTAAAATACTTCAGGAGAATTCTCTCTATATAACATGTAGGTAAGAATTTAAATAAAATGCTACAAAACAGAACATGCATGTACCTGCTGCTTGTGTGTACTTTAAATTTTGACACTCTGATCTTCACCCTCATGTTAGCCTGGCAACTAGTATGCTTGGATGGAACCCGACGTTTTGAAATTCTGGTGGCCTTCTCTGGTCGTGTGTTGTGCTGGCAGCGATAGGCTTTCTGAAATTAAAAGAAATAAATGTAATAGATAGGGTGTTCAATTTACTGTTCGAATAGGAATAATTACAAAACAATTATCGACTATTCAAACAAAACAAGAGCCGCAGAGCGTCTGGGCTCATCTGAGGTCTGTTGCTACGGTTATAAACGTAACATTTAAG